TTGACCGGGGCAAAAATATTTATACCCCAGTCAACTCAACGTAGATTATATAGGAGGCAGGCTACCGGTACTTCGACATTGTCTCTCAGGATCCACCTGAGCCGGGTGTCCCACAACATCGCAACAGGCAGACGGAGGTTCTCGATGTAATAATCTCCCCACTCAGTCTCGCCTTCTGTGAGCAGTTGCAATCTCGAAGAATCTGTCAGTAAGAACACAACAGACTCCGGTTGAAAGACCTGAGGAGAGACAAAGTCTCCCATCGTCGGTATCTGCCTGAACCCGCAATAGGGATAAGCTGAAATTCTTAGACATGAGAGACAAGCTACCTAACCTTTGGACCAACTGAATACAAAACTAGTACATGTACAGCATACAACGGCTAAGAGCCTTGCTTTAAAAAAAACAACCAGTAAACAAAACAATTAACAAACAAAACCCAAGCGCTATCGTGTGTTACTCAAGACCACACCCCAGTAACCACCCCCAAAGCACCCTATTGACACCTGAGGGGTTGAAGACACTGCTCTGGTCTATTTTTTCTTTTCCCCCAGGGTGTTCATTGTCTTGACAATCTCACAGTTGAAATACTCCCCCCCCCCACTCCCTGTGGGGTAATGGTTAGGCTCTTCACCAGTGCATGCAGAAGACATGAATTGAAGACGCGCGCAGACACAAACTATAAATACAAGGGGGGGGAAAACTGGGGAATATGTAAGTTTGTCAGAACAATTTTAAGGTAGCGTCCCTTTGATAATCTTCGACAATCTCCTTCAGCAAAACACCAAGTTGATGTAATTTACGCCTGATTTTAGGGTGGGTGACGACAACGATGATGATGATGATCCTCTTTAACTTTCCCCCCATCCCTTTCCCTTTACAGAAATGCATATTATATTCATGCGGTATCTCCTAATGGAGTCTTTCTGTAGCTGATCGCTGAGCAGAAGGCGCACAAGGACAACACTACCACAGAGAGGCGTGTGTCAACGACGAGGCTGGCATAGACGGACATCAAAGTCTTCTCAACAAACAATTACAGCACAATATAAGTCGAGAGTCGATGAAGGCGTAATTCTTTTATAGTTTAATCAAAACACACATTTCAACTGTTTCTCTCTGTCGCGTCTCTCTCTCTCTCTCTCTCTCTCTCTCTCTCTCTCTCTCTCTCTCTCTCTCTCTCTCTCTCTTCTCTCTCGGATCTCTCTCTCCCTTTCTGCCCCCCTCTCATTCTCTCTCTCTGTCTCTCTCTCGCTCTCTCTGTCTCTCTCTCCCTCTCTCCCTCTCTCTCCCCCTCTCTCTGTCCCCCCGCTTTTTACGTCTCTCTTTGTATACATATACTTTTATATGTATATATGGTATACACATTACTATTTCCCAAGACTATTTCCATAAATTAGGCCAGGTAAGATAAGCGAAAAATTTGCTGTGGCGTGGTAAATACATGGATGCGCACACCAACTCTCAGAAACACGCGCGCGCGCGCGCGTGTACACACACACACACACACACACACACACACACACACACACACACACACACA